CCATGGGAACTGAGCCAGACTCTAGTAATACTGGTATCACATTATCTCATCTATCCGAATATCTTTCAATACTTTCTCCATTTCATATCACACATACCACTTCCTTCTGTTCACCTTAGTGACACATTGCCTCATGAAGATACAGTGGTGCCTCGCTTAGCGATGGGGTTTTGGCCATTGCCAGACCGGTCACTTAGCAATGGCCCCTATGGGGAAAAAGTGATCGCTTAGCAATGCCCCCTATGGGGAAAAATCGCTTTGCGATGATCACGGGGAAGCGATCATGGCAAAGCGACCCTTTTTGCACAGCTGATCGGTGGTTCCAAAATGGCCACTGGAAAAACAAAATGGCCGCCTGCTGTTTTGCCTCGCTTTAGAGGCACCAAAAATGGTTGCCCCTATGGCGGGGCTTCGCATAAGGTCAGTTTTTAAGCCCATAGAAATGCATTAAACACGTTAGCAACGTTTTTCCTGGAACGGATTAATGTCGCTAAGCGAGGCACCACTGTATCTGTGATCAAAGGATTGTATGCTTTCTCTGTGCCTTTTTGGTCAGCCTACTCCAGTATGGCCTCTGGAAGGCTGTACACATTATTCTGCCCCTTGAGGTAAATAAAGAAAAAGGCCACAATAATAATACGATAATCACATTCGAACTGCAGAGCTGGAAGACACCCTATGTATCCATCTCCTATCAAGGAGGCAAAGTGGAGAATTGAACTCCCATCATCTCACTTTGCAGCCAGACCTAAGCCACTGACTTTAAGTCAGTAAAATACAATGACAGGTACTCTTTGTTTTAAACAAACAAACAACAACAAAACACCCCAACATTTGCAGCCTTCTTGACTCCCCAAAAGAGCTGTCTGAGGTAGCTGGCTCACTTTGCCATACAACATAGAAGCTGGAGGCCCATGTTTCTAATCTTTGGATTACTAGGGAGGCTGAGGATTTCTTGGATGGGGCAGTGAAGACCATCTTCCATACAAAACACATGGAGAACTTCATTGAGGAGGAAGGCAGTTCACAAATACAGGAGGCAGACATGTAGAGGAATGTCGCGCACAGAAGTAGAAGGCCCAAGAACCTTACAGTTTGGAGCTACAGAATAGATTCTCACTTATTAATCAGGAAATGGAACAGCAGCAATAGCAGCAGTGTCAGCCTGCAGAGAATCTCCAGAGGACCCAGGAACCATCTGGTTTAGGGCCTCGATATCTGGCGGAATGCCTGCTTCCACCAAGATCTACCTGTGTCACTCATGCGAGCCAGGAGGTGAGGCTGAGGAGCCTAACACCGAGGGAGGCCCGGAAGGAAAAGACAAGAAATCGGGCCTTCTCGGCAGTGGCTCCTCGCCTCTGGAACAACCTACCTCTTGATCTTCGTGTGGCTCCCTCGCTGGGTATCTTCAAAAATCAACTTAAAACATGGATGTTTCGGCAGGCCTTCCCTTCAAATCCCTGATGCCCTTTCCCCCCCGCCTCTATTTGCCTCTTTTATTACGTCTATTTTATGTAATACTGTTTAATATATATTTATTGTTCTATTTTATGTTGTTAGCCGCCTAGAGTGGTCTTAACCGGCTAGATAGGCGGGATATAAATAAAATAAAATAAATAAATAAATAAACAAATAATGTGTAAATGAAGTGTCCCCTACCAAGCTTCAGAGGAGACAAGTTATGGTGGTTGGGGACTCCTTGCTCAGAGGAACAGCAGCCACGACCTGCAAGCCTGACAAGATGAATCGTGAGGTGCGCTGTCTCCTTGGAGCCAAAATTCGTGATGTAACAGAGAGATGGACAAGACTCATTAAGCCCACCGACTCTTACTCCTTCCTTTTGGTTCATGTGGGAACCAATGACACCGCAAGGCATAGTTTGCAAGACATCACAAAGGATTACGAGGCTATGGGTAGGAAGCTGAAGGACCTGGGTGCGCAGGTCGTAATCTCATCTCTCCTCCCTGTTGAAGGACACGGCCCACAAAGCGAGAGAATAATAATGGAGGTGAACAACTGGCTCCACATGTGGTGCTGCCAGGAACTATTTGGCTTCTTGGTCCACGGTCTGCTATTTCACAAAGATTGTCTTTTGGCTGAGGATGGGGTGCACCTCACAGCTGTTGGCAGTGGTGTCTCAACTTACGACCATAATACGTTCCAGAAGATGGACGTAACTCTAAATGGTCATAAGTCAAAGCACCATTTCCCATAGGAATGCATTGAAATGCAATTAATCCATTCCAGCCGAAGGGAAAAAAATCACCAAAAAAAAAATCACTGCGAGACTCATTGGAAACACGATTAATCCCTTCCGGCCAAAGGTGTGAGGGGGGGGTGGAATAAAAGCAATCAAATGTGCAAGACCCATAGGAAATGCACAGAAAACAAATGGAGAAGATCGGAAATGCACAGAGAACAAAGGGGGAAGGTCAGAAATGCAAAGAAAACAAAGGAAAAAGCAAGGGAAGTTTGCATGTCCTATGAGGAGTGATTTAGGGAGCTGGTAATGTTTAGCCTTCCAAAAAGAAGGTTAAGCGGGGACATGATAGCCATGTTTAAATATTTGAAGGGATTTCATGTCGAGAAAGGGGCAGGTTTGTTTTCCATGTCTCTAGACACTAGAACAAGGAGCAATGGTTTCAAACGACAGGAAAAGAGATTCCACCTGAATCTCAGGAAGAACATCCTGACCGTCAGAGCTGGTCAGCAGTGGAGTAGGCTAGCTCGGAGTGTGATGGAGTCTCCTTCTTTGGAGGTTTTTAAGCAGAGGCTGGATGGCCATCGGTCGGGAGTGCTTTGATGGAATTCCTGCATGGCAGGCGGTTGGACTCGATGGCCCCTGTGGTCTCTTCCGACTTTGTGATTCTATGACTCTAACAGGGCCGGCTTCCTTGAGCACCTTGTATGCTTCCTTAGGGTCACTGGAGAAAATCTAGGCTGTCCCCAGCAGGCCATAGTCCATGGAGCCACAATCCCTGGCGGACAGTATGGAGCCCCAATTGGCAGGGTGGCCTAAGGGCACAGCAGGCAAGAGTGGGGCCCAAGGTGGGAGCGAGGAGGCACTGGCGTTGCCCCAGGACAGACGGGCAGAGATAGGGATGGGTTTGTGGGATCCACGTTTAAAGGAGGAAGAAGAGGAAGTGGGGACTTTTTGCCCTCAACAGACTCGGATGGGAAAGACTGGGCAGATACCTTATAAGAGCCCCCCCCCAAAAAAAAACTATGAGCTTTCAGCAGAGATCAGCTGCTACAGGAGGTGTAGATGGGCAAATTAATCAGCTTCCTTACAGGTAAGGCACTTGGGGGGGGTCACTTCCCAATCTGGGCTCCCACAAGGACAGCACAGGTGTTCAGCTGAACCCCAAGCCACTTGACCGCCTCCCCGACTCAGAGATGGAAGAAGTGCCACAACAAGCACCTACAGCAGAAGTGGGACTTGGGGATCTCCACCAGCCCAGCACTACTGACCCTCCCTAAACAGCATCAGCTGGCCAGGGTCAGTGCTGAGAATTAGACCCCAGCCCAAGGACTGAAGATGCTGGGGGCCAAGCGAATGGAGTTCAGGCCCAGCTGGGGACTGAAGGCAGCAAGGGGCTAGTGGGGTTAATTAAGTGGAGTTAACTAAGCATCCCTGCAGATTGTCGGGACAGAGGGAACCATGCAACCAGCCTGCCTTTGAACCCTGCTTCACTACCCTAATAAAGCTGAGTTTAAATAGCAATGAGAGCCTGGAGCTCATGGCGCCCATGGTGGAGAAGAGACCGTCCTGGACGTGGCCACCCTGGGCAGGGCTGATGGCAGTCACATAAGGCTATAAAGGCAACTAATTTTTAAAAAAAACAGCCAGCAACTCTCTTTGTGACATTGCCTGGGGATATACATCTTCAATTCAACTGCTGCTCTCACTGCATCAAGGGGGTGTGCATTAATTCCGTCTTATCATTCAACAGCTGATTCACTCCAGTTTGCTAGTTCGGAAAGAAAACAGACCCACTGCATCAAGGGGGTGTGCATAAATTCCGTCTTATCATTCAACAGCTGATTCACTCCAGTTTGCTAGTTCGGACTAACAATCGGAGAAGAAACAAAAAGGAGTGTGGCATTTTTTAAAGGCCAATAAATTTATTGCGCCGCAAGCTTTTGTGGGTTGCAATCCATTTATTCAGAACCATCTGCCGTCTTTAAAACTCATGGGTCTTAAAACCACGAAAGCTCACGGTGCAATAAACCTGTTAGTCTGACATTCTCCACAATACTTTTTTTTGAGTTGTTTCTGGTTTTGTAGCTTCTGTAGCAAACTACCTCTCTGAAAGTCAGATTTAAGTTGGTTGTACACTCTCCCTCCCTCGCTCTCTTTCTCCCTCTCTCTCTCTCCCACACACGACATCCACAAAAAGTGGTTATTCATAATTAATTCTCTTTTTTCCCCTCCTTCCCTTCCCCCCCTTTTTACCCTCCCCCCCCACACACACACACTTTTTGGATGGGACTTTCTGCATTAAACTGCAGCAGAATTCACAAGGATGAGACAGAAAGGATGTGAATGTTCACTGATCTTTTTTTTTCTCCCCAAAATAAAGCCCTCTTCCCCTTGGGAAATATATATCAGGCAAGCTGGCATATAAGCATTCTCCGAACAGGCCCACGAGCTGGTTTAGAGTCACCATGACTAACCCTGCCAGTGGAGCCTTCTGCTGAACAGGGGTTTCACACGCCAGATCTGCCTGCAAGTGGGAAGTGGGAGAGAGGAAAGCAATCTCTGCTTTCCCAGACCCCAGATTTCCTGACCTTCCTTCCAAAAGCGAAACAGATCCTTTTGCTTTCTTCTTCCCCACCTGGAGAATTCCTCCCTCCTTTTCAACCCACCATACCCCACCTCATGAGTCACTAAAAAGCTTCGCATATTTCCCCATGAAACAAGATTTTCCATCTTGTCTGCAGTCCCACTGTCTCAAGAAAAAGAAGAAGCAATGCAATAATATGGCTGCACCACTTACCCCAAGCATCTGGTGCAAATAGTAATACTCTGGCTCACAATAAAAGAGCTTGAACGTTTTGCCAAACAGTCCCATGTTGAGAGATAGCCACAGCAACTGATGGGAGAAAAAAAGAAAGGACATCAGAATAAAGAAGATCCCGCAGGTACAGTTGTATATTTCGTCAGTTGTATATTTTCAAATGTGTTGTTCTTTTTCAGAATAACTTTAAAAAGGGGGAACCTTTAAGACTGACATTTATTTCAGTATAGCATCCACAAATTTTATTTAAATGGATTGTTATCTATAAAAGTAGTACATGGTCAATAAAATCTGTGTGAAAGGTACCAGAAGGCTCTTCCCCCTCCCATCAGCAAAGATCATGGTGAAACTATCTGAGATTCATATAATGAGAAAGAAACAGAGCTCTTTAAATATAAAGTAAAATAAAGTAGGCGATGATGGAGACAATCTTCCAGCACAGTTCCAAACCTTTGCAATTATGACTCAGAGTTAACACTGCTTCGTCTCATTTTTGGATACAGAATATACAGTAGGTGGAAGGTCAACGAAAGAGAGTGAAAAATCCTATTCAAATATGCCAAAGCCAGAAACCAATTAAAACCCAAGGCAAAGCAGAAAAGACTCATTTTCTCAAACTAAAGCCACTTTTTTTTCCTGAATCTGTTCTTCATCGCAGTAAGTTTTCAGCATCAACTAATGTGACAACAGGAAACCCCGGAGTTATGTAGCTTTCTGCTCGAGCAGAAAAGGCTTAGCGCGGCCACCATGGAACATTGGTTTCAACCAATAAAGGGATGTGTTGCTAGACAATGTAATTTCAAAGCCAGAGGATCAAATTATCTTGCTTTTCTCATTCCTAGCATTTCTAGTGGTGACTTCAGGTGAAATTTAAAACCATTGCATCACCATCTAGAATCTCACTGAAACCTCTGTTATTCCCCTGCAGATTATGATGTAAATTAGATGACTTCAGCATTAAGACATTAAGAAGTTTGCACCCCCCACAACTTCCTTTTAACAGTGTCTTGTCTAGTTAAGAAATCTGGAGTTTGCAAACAAAAGTTTTGTTCTCTTTTAGTTGAGAGCCAGTGTGATGTAATTAGAAAGAGGAAAGTCTGATTCTGCAAAACAGACATGGTTGGAACATAGAACATGAGAAATATGAATCAAGGTAAACTGGAAACCATCAGGGAAAAAAATGGATAATTTAAATATTTCAGTGCTTGATGCGAGAGAACTAAAGTGGACTACAATGGGACATTTTCAGTCAATTAACTAAAAGGTGTGCTTCTCTGGAAATGAAAAACTCAGGAGAAATGAAGTGGCTCTAATACTGATGCAAGGTGTAGCACAGGCAATTAGGGACTATAATGTAAGGCCAAATAATATCCCTCAGTCTCGGGGTCAAGATGAAGCAGGGGAACAACTTGTAGAGTTTTGTGAAGCCAAGCAAATACATGCCTTAAGAAACTGAATAGCACACTATACACGTGAATATCACCAGATGGTCAATACACAAATCAAATGGATTACATAGTAGGAAGCAGGCGATAAGGAAGCTGTATAATCTCCGACAAAACAAGACTAGGAGCAGATTGTGGTACTGATCATGAACTGTTAATATCGAACATCAGAGTGAAACTGAAGAGCACTAAAAGAACCCTAGTTCCAAAATATATTTTAAACAAAATTTATGAGGAATTTAAAGCCCACATAAAGAACGGATTTGCATTACAAAACCTGATTGATCATGAACCAGAAGAATTATGGATTGAAGAGATCTCTTGCTTTCCCTCTTTTGTTGTTCTCTTCCATTTCTTTGTACTGGCCATTACGATAATTTTCTTCGTCTCTATGTGACAGTTGCTGAAAAGCTGCATTCAGGATTTTGACCTTATTTCTGTCACAAAACAAAATTTTGTTTCTTGCCTATCCATAGCAATTATAAAATCTTTCTTCCATCATCCATTTGAGTTTTTCTTTTCATAGGAATTACCTTTTTCATTCTTCCCTATTATTCTTTCATCCGTATATATCCACAGTCTATTCACCTGTAGTACAGCAAAGCCTTTGACTGTGTGGATCATGAGAAGCTATGGATTGTTCCGAAATAAAAGGGTGTGTCTCAGTGTTTGATTGCCCTGACTCCTGATGCATAAACTGTATTGTGGACAAGAAGCTACTGTCAGGACAGAAGGTGGAGAGATGGAATGCTTTCCCTTAGGCAAAGGTGTCAGATAAGAGTCCATTTTTCTCCCCATCTGTTTGAGAATATATATGGAAAATTGAACTAGATTCAGATGAAGGAGGAGTGAAAATTAGCAGAAGAAACATCAATAATTTAAGATGCACAAATGACACTATCTTACTTGCAGAAAGTAGCAGTGCCTTGAACTGAGTTTTAGTGAAAAAGAAAGAAGAAAGTGCCAAAGCAGGACTCCAGTTGAACATGAACAGGACAAAAATCACGACTAGAGAAAAACTACACAATTTTAATATTGACAATGAAGAAATTGAAACAGTTACAGATTTTGTACACTTTGGTTCAATATCAATCCAAATGGAGACTGCAACCAAGAAATTAGAAGAAGAGAGACACTTTAAAGGGCAGCAATGAAGTAACTAGAAAAGATCATCAAGCCTAAGGATGTGTTACTGGACACCAAGACCAAGATCATCCACACTCGTGTATTTCGGATCCCCATATCTGGGTGTGAAAGCTGAACAGTTAAGAAAGCTGACAAGGAAAAAAATGATTGATTTGAAATGTAGTGCTGGAAGAGAACTTTGCATATATCCTAGACTGCCAGAAAGACAAACAAGTGGGTCCAAATCCTATCGGTCCAAATCCTATCAAGCCTGAACTACCTCTAGAAGCAAAAAATGGTAAAACAGACCTACTGTTGGGCACATTATGAGAAGGCAAGATTCACTGACAAAAAAAATTATAATAATGCTGGGAAAAGTTGAGGACAGCAAGAGAAGAGGAAGGACCAAATAAAAGATGGATTACCACCAAAAAGGAAACCACAGTTTTAAGATTACAAGAGCTGCTGAGGACAGGACATGTTGGTGATCATTCATTCATAGGGTTGCTATAAGCCAGAGATGACTTGACAGAACATAACAACAACATAAGTGGAAGCAAGTCCATGACATATAACACCATATTTAAAAATATGTTAATTGGATTTGAAGCACAAAACGTGCTTCGTTCAGCTATCGTTGTGGCATTGCTTCATTTAATTACATGAATAGGTGGGTGGTAATTTGCATCAGGAGTATATAATACATGGGGAGGGAAATTTCAGCCTTCTTTCCTGAGCCACAATCTCAACTCCCACCCTGGTATAGCATTTATTCACTGGCTTGTTGCTTCTCAGTTAACAAAGTCATGCCAAAGTGATGCAAAAATCACACATGCACACATAAGGTCAAAAGTCAATATTCCTTAAGAACATAATAAAAATGTTAAAAACGTGCTTTAGATCACTTTCAGACTCTGAATGCCATACAGTCTTGGCTGCCCACTTGAAGTTCATAAGGTATGAAGCCAGTGTGATGTCTCCAGGGAGGAAATTTGCCGACTTAGGTATCTGTCTGCAAAGCCAATTATTGGGGGTCTGATTCACCAATGTTTCTCTTGAGAAAAGAGTTATCAGCCTGCGTAGCCTTCAGCAAGCTGCACAGTTCCAGGGCACCTTCAGAAAAATGGGAAACCACTTCTAGTTCTCTATATCTAGAAAACTCTGTGAAGGATCACCATTAAGTCAGAGTGGATGGCATGCAATTCTTATTTACACCTATAATAGGAAATGGTCTGGCAGATATTCTGGTCCATGCCAGTTAAGGCTTCATAGATCAAAACCCAACCCCTGAACTGAAGCAAACTATAAGATTGTGGGTGATTTGAGAGATATATGACATCTAAATTGCATATTAAACATTTTTTTCCTAGCTGTAGCTTCTGAGTATTCTCCAAAGGCAGCCCAACACTGAATGCATTACAGAAGTCTAATCAGGAGACAACGAAGGCATGAATCTTGGTGGCCAAGGCTGTCTTCCCCAGGAAGGGGCACAGTGGGTACACCAGCCAAAGCTGGGCAAAAAATTCCCAGCCACAGTGGCTACCTGATCTTTCAGCAAACTGTGAACCTGGTCCTTAAAAACAGAGCAGGATAGTATCATTAATATAGTGATCTGAGAACTCTAAAAAGACTTCCTCCATCAGCTTCATGTAGACATCAAAAAAAACCCAGAAGGGACACAATGAACACAGAGGAAGCTGGGTGGGTGAGGTTGGCATAGAGCAGTGGCGGTGAACCTTTTTGGGCTTGCGTGCCCAAACTGAAAAAACAAAAACCTAGCGGGCGGTGTGCTGCGGCTACAGAGGTGGCGGAACGGGGAATCCTGGGCACGGAGGTACCTCAAGACCCCACTCTGAATCCACTGCTAGTGCCAGCTGCTCCGGATCCACCTGCCGAAGCTCTGGCACCGCGGCTGCAGCTGCATTCTCAGGTTTGGCTGTGCACAGGTGGGTGGCTCGCGTGCCCGCAGAAAGGTCTCTGTGTGCCAGCTGTGGCACGTGTGCCAGAGGTTCGCCGTCGCTGGCATAGACTAATAGACAATGACAGTGGGAGTTTCTCCACCCCGAGGTTTGTAAGCTGAACTGGGAGGGATTTTGATGCAGACTGGTGGGGAGGGGATACTTGGGTCCTGATGAAATCAGTTCCCTCCATCCCCATTCATGTAATTATTTCTTTACCAAATGCAGTGGCAGTTATACACTTTATATTAATGAATAATTTGGTACTGTCTTGTTCTACATCACTTCTAATGGTCATGCAAAGCACTGTGCATGTTGAAGATGATGGGATTGCCAGGCTGGAGGTCACATGTCCACCAACACCAGAGAAGGGACAGGACAAGTCTAAAGAGGAGAACATTTCCTCCAGTTAAACAGGGTTAATGGGAACCCTGTTTTTGGCTTGATTCCCCACTCCCCAGATTTCCTAATTATGTGGAGAGACAGAAGGACCCTCCCATTCAGACTATCACTTCCCCTCTTAGCGAAGCAACCCTGGAAGACTGGAGATCAGGGCACACTCCTCTTGATGTATTGATTTTAGCCTTATTTGTGAATGCCTAAATAGGGCTCCTGTTGTACTGATGGTTTCAAGAAGAAAATCTGCTTGCAAGTTTAAGATTTCTTCTATAAAACATGCAAGCCATTAGCACAGAATCAGTCATTGTAGACTTTAGCTAGAGATGGAGTACGCAAATATTGGAGATGCCTTTACATTCAAGAAATCAGATTTCAAAAGAATCTTGCATTTAAACCCCAAAGAACGATTATGAAACAAAGCAAATTTGTAAGATACAAGTGGTAATAAAAACTCCTGCTGCGCATGCAGATGCATCCAGCAATTAAGGAATAATTACAGTACAGACTATCCAAGTGGGATGTGGTGGTGCTGTGGGTTAAACCTCAGAAGCCTCTGTGCTGCAAGGTCAGAAGACCAGCAGTCGTAATATCGAATCCATGCAACGGAGTGAGCGCCTCTTGCTTGTCCCTACTCCTGCCAATCTAGCCGTTCAAAAGCATGTAAAAATGCGAGTAGATAAATAGATACCATCATGGTGGGAAGGTAACGGCTTTCTAGTCGCGCTGGCCACGTGACCACAGAAACTGGCTACGGACAAACGCTGGCTCTACGGCTTGGAAACGGGGATGAGCACCGTGCCCTAGAATGGGACACGACTGGACTACATGTCAAGGGGAACCTTACAGACTATCCATAATGTCTGTTTCTCCCCCAAAGAAACATATAGAACTTTCCATATTAACTTGCTACGAAGAATTTCTGCTGCCAAGGGGAGAATCAGATGGTCTAGTTTTTGTGTTATGTGTCATGCAGTCACATCCAAATTGTGGAAATCCTAATTACATCTGCCTTTTCCCAGGTTAAACTATCAATCCATCTGGTGCACTCAGATTGACGGTAGCTCTCCAGCATGAAAAAGTTTATCATGTTTGACAACAACTCTCAGACTTCCTCCAGCCCGCACCGTCAGTGTCCATGCTGGCTAGGGGAATTCTAGAACAAGTTAACTTTTCCAAAGTGTCACACACAGGTCTTTTTTCAACACCAGAGACAAGTCCCCGCTGGTTCAGAACAAAGACTAAACTAGAGCAACATCCTGTTTCCCACAGCAGCCAACCAGATGCCTCTGGGAAGCTCACAAAGAGGGCAATCCAGCGGTTGACCTCTCCTACTCATTCTATACAACACAAGGCTCAAGGATGCAAAAGTCTATGAGCCAGGAAAAACCCTGAACTCCTTTGTTCCAAGATTCCTGCCCCCACCCCCAAATCATGCTGAATTTGTGCACATCACAAAGGCCATACCCCAAAGCCCACCTATGTACAAAGCAGGAAATACTTTTAGGAACTGGTCTCTGGAGTTACCTAAAGCTGCCGATCTCTGTTCTAAATGGAGACATTAAAGACTGAAACTGGAGTTTTCCAGATGCAAGACGTGTTCTGTATCTCTTGATTTATTTTTTCTATAGAAGGCTGTATTACAGCTGAAACCAGGCAGGACTTATAAGTTTGGTGGTGCCACGGATCTTCAGTCCTCTATCTACTCCATACAGAAGACCAGCAGACTGTTGCACATTCATGGCAAGGCTTTAGTACAGAGATGGGCACAAACCAGTTCGCCCTAGTTCGTAAAGGTGCTGCTGCTCTCCTCCCTGCGTCCTCTGGCTCAGCCTCTTGCCTGGCCCGGTGTGCTTGCTTCCTACACATCCTCAACTGATCTTCCAGTCCCGGCAGGAGCTCAGCCTTCTCTGACCCACCCCCTTGGCTGATTTGCCACTCAGACAAAAGGACGGGGGCAGAGAAGTCTGGGCTCTTGCTCACGACTGGGAGATTAGCTGAGGAAGTGGGAAAAGCAGGCAAGCTGGGCCTGGTGAGTGTCTGAGGAGGCAGGGAAGGGGAGCACCAACAGCTGTGCTGCCACCTTTCGAAACAGGAATGAACTGGGACAAATTGGTTTGTGCCCATCTCTTCTAACATACGTAAGCTTGCTGTGCTGATCTGAGATATAGTGTGTTGATGATCAGAAGTTATCATAAGCCAGGGGTTCCAGTCTCACAGAAGCTTGTAAGCATGCTCAGCTGGGGACCAACAGGGGAGGGGGTATCAGCTTCCAAAAATGAGCAAGAAATAACCCAATGAAAAAGAAATAACCCAAAGAACACAATTAACCCAAAATGTGCAAGTCAAACCCAAATGTTGTTGGAAGTCCACTTCTGAGTTTATTTTTGCACCCTGTTTTACTGAAAAACTAGTGTGGCCAGAAGTTTCCAGGAGAGGAAAATAAGTTTCATTTCTTGCAGACGGGGATAAGGAGGCTGCAAAAAATAGCCTTGGAAGGATGCCTCCCTATATTTTGCCCACCTTTGCCCTAAACTAATAAGACAAAGGATTGGATTCCACTCGGAATGAATTAACAAAAGCTGAGGAGTAACTAAGTTGCACAGAATGGAAAGCATGTAACTCTATGCAAAACTGTGGAGCATGAAATCTGTACTGGACCATATGGGTCTATCAAACAGATGCATTGTGCTTCAATTCAAAAATGAAAAATCTGAGCTTCTGAGTCAGGAATTTAGATTCCCTGCCCAAAAGTCTTCTTTAGCCCCTCACATGTTCATGTTGTGTCCATGTGTGCCTTTGACTCTCTACACAGTGACAAAAACTGCTATAATGTAACAGCAGACACAGTGAACTGGGTAATCATCTCTAACCTGAATCCGGTAGTATTTATCTTGGGTTGGCCAAGAGTGGTCTTAAGTGACTAGATAGGCGGGATATAAATTAAATAAATAAATAAATTGGAATCCTGTAGTCATTTGTTGTTCTTGTTTAGTCGTTAAGTCGAATCCTGTAGTCATTTGTTGTTCTTGTTTAGTCGTTAAGTCATGTCCGACTCTTAGTCATTCGTAGTCATTTATGCCATATCAAACTCCACTGAATTCTGGAGGCTTTCTTTTGAGTAGCCCTGCTGAAAAGCGACAAGCCATCCTCTCTTCATTTGTAGTCATTTATGCCATATCAAAATCCACTGAATTCTGGAGGCTTTATTTTATTTAATTTTTTTGAGTAGTCCTGCTGAAAAGCGACAAGCCATCCTCTCTAAAAACCTTCCCCATCTGCAATGTGTGGGTATTTATGCTGAAATGACCTGAAATGACTTTTAACAAGAGTGAAAGAAGAAAGTGCCAAAGCAAGACTGCAGTTGAACACTAAAAAGGCAAAATCATGACTAGAGAAGAAGTACACAACTTTAATCTTGACAATGAAGAAACTGAAATAGAGATTTTTTTATACTTTGGTTCAACCATCAATACAAATGGAGATTTCAGCCAAGAAATAAGAAGACTGAGAATGAAGCAATGAAGGAATTAGAAGTGATCATCAAGTATATGGATGTGTTACTGGACACCAAGATTAAGATCATCCACACTCCTGTATTTCTGATCACCATGTATGGGTGTGAAAGCAGACCAATTAAGAAAGCTGCCAGGAAAAAAATGATTCATTTGAAAAGTGATGCTGGAGAACTTTGTGGATATGCCTGGACTGAAAGAGGAACAAGTGGGTCCTAGAACAAATCAAGTCTTAACTATCTCTGGAGGCAAAATGTAGACACTGAGGCTGTCCTCCTTTGGGCAAATCAGGAGAAGTCAGGATTCCCTGGGAAGGACAATAATGGTGGTAAAAGTGGAAGGCAGCAGGAAAAAAGGAAGATCAAACAGAGATGACTCTCTAAGGAACCTCCAGGCTTGAGTTGTCAAGAGCTGAGCAGGGCAGTTGAGGACAAGAGATTTTGGAGAGTGCTCATTCATAGGGTCATCATAAGTTGGAGGTGACTTGACAACACACAGCAACAACTAGACAGAGCTGTTGTAAGCTTTATTGCAAGGCAACAGGTATACGCAACATCTGTTTTACTTTCATCAAGTGTCTAGCAGATGTCAGGCAGATGAGAAATCACGCCAAGCCTCTCTGACACGACTGTACCAGAGATGCTACACTGCTGCACATGCTCAGGAACAGTCTCTCCCTTCCCTGCAGGTGTCCTCGGCCATCTTCTCTCCAGCTTCTTAACTTTTCATTTTCTTTTTACTTTTTCCCCACGGGATTCCCTCCTCCACCACTTGAGCCCATGCTCAGAAACACTCTTCTCTTTTCACACACACCCTCCGCGGCCCTTTTGCACCCCGAGCATGTCCCTCAACCCCCTAAAGTCACTAGTTCCCCCCCCCACAGACTCTTCCCTTCCCTCCTTCCAATGCTCAGGAACACTCTTTTCTTCCCCTTTCCCCATCGCCGGCGGGGCATTAACATCTGCCCCGACCGGCGCGTCGCGCGCCCCCGTTGCGCCCGCCCCGCTCTCCGAAACCCCGGCGCGGCAGCGCGCACACAAGCGCGCGACCGGCCGGCCGTCTAGCCCTCCGCTCGCTCGCTCTGCCTTACCAGGAGGAGGTGTTTGCCTCCCTCATTGGCGAGCCAGCTGCGGCAAGAGGGGGCCATGGTGCCGTCCGAAAGCCGCGGTCCTCTCCTTCCCTCTCCCTGGCCGTCCTTCCTCGGCGGCGGCTGCTAAGCAAGGCGGGGGCGGTCGGCGAGCGGCGGCTCTTCCTTTTCAGCCGCTGGAAGCCAAGCCTCCCCCCCCCAACACACACACCTCCCTCACCTCCTTCCGGCCTCCGCCCCCCTCAGTTTTTGGCCTCCTCTTCCCTCGCCCCCTCCTTCTCCCCTCAGAGGGGAGAAACTTGGCCGCCTCTGCCCGCCTTCCCACCTTCCCTGAGCCGCGCAAGGCAACTCCCGGGGGGCGCCGCCGTCGGACTTCTTTTTGTCTGGGACGAGGCGGCGGGAAGCCAGAGGTGAGCGGGTGTGAGGAGGCGCTTTGTTTCATTTTTTAACACGTTTTCTCTCTCTTCCTCCCCACACGCATACACACGTTCTCTTTTCCCCCCTCTTTCCCTCTGCCTGAGGAGTTTGCCCCGTCGTCGAGCCTCACTCGGCTTCTCGTTCCTCGAGGGACGGTTATCTCGATGGGCGGGGGTGGCCCAGCCTAGATCACGTCAAGCCTGAAGGCAAAAATGCGGCAACTGAGGCTGCCCTACTCGTGAGAAGGCAGTACTTTTTTGTTTGTTTTTGAAAAGACAATGCTGGAAAGGTGAAACGCAGCCAGGAAAGAGGAAGACCAAAGACAAGATGGATTGGCTCTCTAAAGGAAGCCACAGAGTTGAGGACAGGCCATTCGAGTGATCGCTCATCCATAGGGTCACCATAAGTCACAGATGACTTGATGACCCATGACAACAATAGCAATTTCAAAACCAGGTGATTGTACTGCACCCAAACCTGTCTCTTAGGCTTTTCATCCAGTGAATTTCCCCCCTTTCCTTCCCCTTCCTTTCCCCTTTCATTGAATGATCAGGTGTAATAGTCTGTACAGAGGAAATATTTATTTATTTATTTATTTATTTTATTAGATTTATACCCCGCCAATCTAGACTGGGTCTACTCAGAAATAGAAGTATCCAGCTTTCCACTATTTAAAAAAAAAAGATTTGACTGGAATTTTTACTTCCCAGAAACTTGAGATGCAAGGTAGCTTACAGTATATATATATATTTAAAAAAAAATAAAGTATGATGAAAAACAATACATTGTAAACATGAAAACCTGATTTAATAAGTTATATTGGGACTGAATGCAGTCATATACCATTGAAAAACATCTCAGTGGAAACAAAAATGGCCAAAATCCTACCAGCAGTCCCTGCTAGGATAGTCTGATATTGTGTAAATCAGTGCGATTTACAGAAGTGTTGACTCGCTATTCAATAATTAGTCTTGCAATAGGAACCTGACCAAGGAACAATATAAACATGCAGCATATCCCTGGCCATCCTAGCCTCTCTCAAAAGGGAAGATCCATGGTTTAGGACTGGTCATTGAGAAGACCCTGTCTCATCTTCTCATCCAAGACAAAAAATTTTTTGCATGTATTTAATGATACCTTTATTCATTTGCTTTAGTACTTTGTTGGCTGCTCTCTTCCTACCAGAAGAAGTTTACCCTTTCCTTTGTCTGGGACTGTGCTGTTTGCCCAAGACCACACTGGGTGGCTCTACAGTACTTTGCAGGAGGCACAATGAGGAATCAAACTCCCAGACAGATACCTAAACTACTGAGCTATCCAACCAGCACCACCAGAAGTTCTTAGCACCCTGCAACAAATCCACATTGAGATACTTTTGCCTTTTTTTTTGGAATTGCCAACTCATGCTGTACAGTAGGACAGAATATATGGCACTGTACAATGTGCATGTATGCCCTTACATCAGAGGTTGATCTAAGGTTTAGCCCCTGAACCATTTTGTATGCCAGAGTTCAGGCTGTTATTTTCCTACCACCACCACCCCCCCGACAATCAGAAGAGTTAAACAAAAGGTCCCTAAAAGGATCTACAGAGGTGGGAAGCATCTTCTAGGCCACTGGTTCTTAACTTTTGTTACTCAGATGTTTTTGGACTGCAACTCCCAGAAGCCTTCACCATCAGCTCTGCTGGCTGGGGTTTCTGGGAGTTGCAGTTCAAAAACACCTGAGTAACAAAGGTTAAGAACTACTGTTCTAGGCTAACTTAAACTTCACCTGTTGAGTAAATATCTGCTGTTTATCTATGCAAGAAACAGAAGTTTCTGTGGTTAAATAACTCAGATTAACCAAGGGTGGGCAATGTACCACTTTTCGGATGGTGCTGAAGTGGAAACTTGTATCCTATGGGCTCTTCTCCTATCTTTTCTTTTTGAAACACAGCGACAAAAACCCAAATGTTTTGGTTGCATTGGGAGACCAATAAAATATTAACAAGGCAAATTTCCCTTGATTAGAGGGACTCGGTGCCATATAACTTTAGGTTCTTTATGTAGTAGCCTTATAGATGCTGGTATGTATAGTTTTACCACTTTGGTATAATTTATTTGTCACATTTATGTCCCACTTTTCCTCCAGTGAGCTCAAGGCAGCGTATATGGCTTGCCTTCTCCCCCTTTTATCGTCAGAACAACCCTGGAAGGTGGGTCAAGCTGAGGAAGCATGGAGGCCCCAAGGTCATCAACGGATGAATTTACTAGCTAAATAGGGATATGAACATAGATAGGCCTTCTGAGTCCTCGTCCAGTGTTCTAACCATTATACAACACTGTCTCATTCAGTCATTCATAACTTATATGTCTTTTCTATTTCTCTTTTCCATGAAACTCCTATACCCACCTCTGCTTTCTCTTATTTCTTTTACTTATGATAGTTGCAATTTCACTCCTCTTGAGGCCATGTTAAGGAACCAGTATGTTCTCTGAAAACTAAAAAAAAATTTAGATATTGGCCAGTGTGGTTTCAGAAGTGGTCCTACCGTTAAGTAGATTAAGGCAACTATCTCAGTGTTTTTTTTTTTTTTTTTTTTTTTTTTGGCAAGTCACAAGCTCACACTGTCAGCTTTCTGGCCATTACTTGTGACTCCCCTCAAATGTTCTCCTGCAGGATGCAGCTATACCTACAGAGTAGCAGTAGTACAGGGACACACCAGGGTGCGATAACCAAAAACATCTTTCCTGAGATGATGAATACGCCAAGCACCAGAGTAGTGTTGATAGAGATTGTTCTATTTACAGAATATCACAAGCTCACACTGTCAGCTTTCTGGCCATTACTTGTGACTCCCCTCAAATGTTCTCCTGCAGGATGCAGCTATACCTACAGAGTAGCAGTAGTACAGGGACACACCAGGGTGCGATAACCAAAAACATCTTTCCTGAGATGATGAATACGCCAAGCACCAGAGTAGTGTTGATAGAGATTGTTCTATTTACAGAATATACAGGTATATTTACAGCTAAGTCTTTGTTCCAAAGTAATGCACAATAGTTTCCACAGAGTTTAGTGCATATATCAGAGTCAATGTCCAGTAAATACGTTCAGTAGTCGTATACCATACATTCCATCCAAGTAGCCAGAGTTCCTCTTCAATTCCAAGCTCGTAGACACAGCTTCCTCCAGGATTCTCCAGCACAGGAACAAGACGACTCTTCTCCACTAATACACCAACCACCATCATCACCACCAACAACCCACAGATTGTGTGTGCTTGCTCTGCTAGTTTTATCCCAGTATTGACCAATCCTAGGATTACATTCACAGCTGTAACAATCACCTCAGCTGTGTATATTCAAGCTTCTCTTCTCTATTACAATACTGATCCTGACAATACTTATTGTCATGTACAAAACTTGATTTAACAATTCTATCAGGTTTAGCCCAAACCTGTCATATACAATATGTCCCACATATAAGACCCGCTGGGTAGCATCATGAAGCCATCTCATGAGATGGGCTTAGGGTGTCTTAAAAGGGCAACAGACTGGCTGGATAATTCAGAGGTTTCAGTATTTGGCCATGGAGTTCCAATTCCCCACGGTGCCTCCTGCAAGTAAAACCAGCCTGTGTGGCCTTGGGCAAGTTGCACATTCCCAAGGCACCCCAGAAGAAGGGGATGGTAAACGACTTTTGAGTATTTTCTACCTGAAAAGCCCTGGAAATGGCTGTAGCAGTAGTGATCAAAAATATCAGACATGATCAATAAAAAATATAAAAACAGTATGTATGATATTTTTTGTTGTTGTTGTTGTTGCAGCAAATTGTTAGCTATTTACTTTGGTATTGCTATTTTTATCTCCAGGGAATGGAAGAGAAGCTTGTGAGATTTTTTTTTTACCTGAAGCACCCAATGAGGTTGTTTGGTTTTGAGTCTTTGCTCAGCCAGAAATTTCTCCCATTAGAATGTTGACCAATGCTAATCAAAGTCACAGAGGAGATATTTCTTTTGAAAAATCATTTCAGAGAAGGGGAAATTCTGAGGGGAACAAAACCTCCTGGGTGAGATTCATGATTCTTGTATTAATTTATGATGTTCCCAAGGCATGTGTGTGAATGTTTTATTTTATCTTATATATCTTTCAGTGTCCATCCCTATGGCATCTGCAAAACACAGTATCTCACCCCAGCTTCTTACAGTTTAATTAAAGCCTGAGGAAGGTAACATAAGCTGATCTCGGGGGTGGTGTTCACGTCCCCTTGGCTTGTGCTGGGGGACTTCAATATCCATGCCAAGGCAGCTGTGTCAGCAGTGGTTCAAGACTTCATGACCTCCATGACGACCATGTTGTTGTTTAGTCGTTTAATCGTGTCCAACTCTTTGTGGCCCCATGGACCAGAGCATGCCAGGCCCTCCTGTCTTCCACTGCCTCCCAGAGTTGAGACAAAGTCATGTTGGTCGCTTCGATGACACTGTCCAACCATCTCATCTTCTGTCGTCCCCTTCTCCTCTTGCCTTCACACTTTCCCAACATCAGGGTCTTTTCCAGGGAGTCTTCTCTTTTCATGAGATGACCAAAGTATTGGAGCCTCAGCTTCAGGATCTGTCCTTCCAGGGAGCACTCAGGGTCGATTTCCTTCAGAATGGATAGGTTTGTTCTCCTTGCAGTTTCAAATTG